TTGTGGCAATCTACAAATTATTAATAAGTAAATAAACGTTTATTATTACATAATACGAAAGCTGCTCTGCTAATATATACTAATTTCCAAATTTTTGAAAAAAATTGGTACCAAAAAATGTATTTTATTGATTAATTTATTTATACAATGTATGATTAAACCAAAAGTAAATAAAAATTTGCATTAGAAATATGTTACAAACTGTACGATAAAATCGAGTAATCGGTTTTCCGATGTAGGGCTCGCTCACAGCAGCGTGAGTAAGATACTTGCCTAGTGTGCAAGAGGACGGGGGATCAAATGTCTTTGAAAACAGTTTTTTCTTTTTTTTTGGAATTGGTTGCAAGAAAAAATAAGAAACATTCAAAATGTATAGTCTGGTGCGGTAGGATTATATAATGTAGTGTGGTGGCGTTGCGTGGTGTACCCACCTATAGAAGTATAACTTTAAAAATGGATAAATTTTTTAGCTTAATGTGCAGTAGATATAATAAAAATATTTATGCTTAGCAACTTTAAAAATTTTTGCAAACATAAGAAAAGTATGTAAGTAATTGGATTTATCGACATTTCCTACCCAACACACGATTGCCAAGGCAACTCGAATTTTTGAGTTAAAACTACAGTTTGTAAAATCATTGTCATACGTAGCAATTGAAAAAAAATTCCACCTTGACCGGGACTAGAACCTGAAACTCTTTTCTTGCCAGGAAAGTGTGTTACCAATTTCGCCATCGAGGTCTTGGCGACTCCTCTTCTCAATTGCTACACTATACTTTTTCGACAATTTTTTCAGTTTAACGCCTTGCTCATATGGTATGTGTAAGAATATTACAATTCACTCTAATTTATCGATGGGTAAGTATAAAATGCGGGTAATTGAATTTATCGATATTTCCCATCCAACACACTATTGCCAAGGTAACTCGAATTTTTCAGTTAACACTACAGTTTTTAAAAACATTGTCATACGTAGCAATTGAAAAAAGGGCCACCTCGACCAGGATTTGAACCTGGAACTCTTTTCTTGCCGGGAAAGTGCATTACCAATTTCGCTATCGAGGTTTCGACGACTCCTCTTCTTAATTCCTAAACTTTATACTTTTTTTAACTGAAAAATTTGAGTTGCCTTGGCAATTGTTTGTTGGATGAGAAATGTCGATAAATTCAATTACTCGCTTTTAATATTTACATATCGATAAATTAGAGTAAATTCTTGTATTCTTACATACCATATGAGCAAGGCGTCAAACTGAAAAAATCGCCGGAAAAGTATAAAGTGTAGCAATTGAGAAGAGGAGTCACTGAGACCTCGATGGCAAAATTGGTAACGCACTTTCCCGGCAAGAAAAGAGTTTCAGGTTCAACTCCTAGTCGAGGTGCCACTTTTTTGCAACTGCTACGTATGCCAATGTTTCTACAAACTGTAGTTTTAAAAAAATTCAAGTTGCCTTGGCAACCGTGCATTGGATGGAAAATGTCGATAAATTTGATAACTCACATTTAATACTGACCCATCGATAAATTAGAGTAAATTCTTATATTCTTACATACCATGTAAGGAAAATATATTATTACAAATACTGTAGATTTTTGAATCAAGACCCATGAGATTATAGTTTGGATTTTTTTATAATCTATAAAAAATAGTACATAAATACCAGCTAATACACCCGGCTGAGCAAAAAAGGAGCTCGCTCTGTCTTCAGTTTTTGGATTCATAATGTACACGTCTCGATTTTCATCACTATTCACATCACGATCTTCTCCAATACTTGATGGCTCAACATTGTCACTGTCTGGTCGGTTAATGGCATCAATACTTGTCTGCAAATAAAATTTTGTTAATTATATACCTTATTTTCTTACATTACAAGCTTAACATTTCTGTATACCACCAAAATTATCTTACAGACAAAAAACTTATGCATCCTGCACTCATAATACTACTCAATAACCCTAGGATTTTTTTTAAATAGATGTATGAATCAATGAGCTTTGTCTGTTAGTAGCTGGTATTTTGGTCAACCATTTCCCTTTTTCTTACTAATATATAAAGCAAATTTGCTAAAACCGTTGTAATCGCTAACCGCGAAAACTACTGAACCAATTTTGCTGAAATTTTGCACACTGATTCATGATACTTCCTAGATGGTTTTAGTATAGTTTTTATCTTAAAAAATTTAATAACAATAGCAATAAATGAGGTCAAAGTTTTTCAAAAATACGCCAGCTTTTCACTTTAGTTCAGTAAAATCCGCTAGGCAGCGTCGACATAAAATTGAAGCTACCTGCAACATAATTAAATAAGTCTGGTTATAATAGGCCGGAGCGTCTCGATAGTGACGTAGTCGAGCTTCGGCAGTTCAACAAGCTGTATAGAGAATGCTGATGACAGTCTTGCAGCTGGTTATCCTGGTTACGGACGACACTCTTCTCTAAGGGGGAAGAAACCTAGGTATTCATTCACCCTGAATCTCGACGAATGTGATAAAAAAAAAAATTACTTCCAACCGATGCCGTCTCTGCCACAATACCAGGAGACATATCTAGCCAGAGCACAATCTACACCAACTCTTCAGAGTTGTGTGGCAGTCCCACCATCCCACCTGGTGCAGTTAGAGAATTTGTAGCTACAAATATAAGCAAGGGAAAACAGCTCTGAGGAGCAAGGGTATCCACAACGGCTACCTTCTTGATCGTCGCGTCTCCAACGCGCTTACCCAAATGCTCCCGTCTAACGATGAGCGGTTGGTTATCCGGGGAACGACCCGAGACGAGATATTCTTGGGTCAGCGGTGTACCTCCCTCCATCACAGTCTCCGTACATCGAGACTCCCAGGGTAAGAATCAAGCAACCCGTAGCCAGCTCTTCATCATCAGGAATAATAATAAAGAATAGCCTGGTAGTTTCACCACTGGCGCTTTTTAGGGCCATTATAAGTATTTACGTTCCCTACTTAACCATCAATTTCATCGGTTTTTTTTAGGATCCACCTAAGTGTAAACTACCTTGCCAACATATACATTTTTATTACCATTTCCGGAAGCGATTCGTCGACCAAAAGACTAGATCAACTAAAGACAGGCACTATTAAACCCCGGTGACCGACGACCCTATACTACCCTCTCGACTCTAAGCATTTAACCAGGAATCACTGATCCTCTCCAAGGTCTGCGTTGGGCAAACCTATAACAGCTATGAAGGAAAAAAAACTTGAGATGACGGGACAGCGTCCAATGGACAAGTATCACTAACCAATCTCCCCATCTAAGATCACCAAAACAACTGAATCTGCAACTAAAAAAGGTGCTTTAGACACCAAAGTCTTCGACGTTATACCGGGAGACGTTGGGAAAGAGCACTACAACTAGCCCCAAAGCTTCGGACTTCGTAATTTTTCTTCCAATCAGTCTGGGTCTTCAACAGCAAGCCAGAGAAGATCACCCTGAGGTATCCAGGCAGTAACAATTGCTGTTAACTGCAGTCAAGAAAGAGTTAACTTAAGAAGCTCACCGGTCTTTTTTAGGGCTATCGGACGTCGAACTACCTTGCCAACAAATATATTAGAACTTAACAAAGTTGACAGAAAATAGCTTTTAGGGGTCACAAAAATTTTAAGCATGCCAAAAGTCACAAGAGGGTGGATTGGAAGAAAAACTTTAAATGTATCTAATAAATACAATTTTACTTAGGCGTCAAGAAACTGACGCAGAAAATTTATCGAGATTGAAACAGCAGCGTCAAAATCGACAACTAAAGAGTCCATTACGTGAGAGATCAGCTTTTCATTGTACCCTCACAGCAATCTCTGAAATCTTTAAAGATCCTACTTCAGATTTTTTAATGAGTAGAAAATATAGTTGTGTTTTTGTGGCAATAAAAATGTAGGGTTTCAGGTCCAGGACTTTGTTGCTCTGGTAATAAAGTTGTGAGATATGAGAAAAAAATTTTTTTTTTTAATATAAATTTTTTAAAAAATAACCGTTTTCGTGAATTACACGGGAGAAACTGTAAATCAACGGCTTTTTATAGTCACCGATTATTTTATGGCATAAGGAACGCACGGTATTTTTCAGCATAATTATTTTTTTGAATTTTTACACCTCATTGTTTGACGAAATAAACTATGTGGATTCCGAAAAAATATGTTTTTAATAAGAAGATTTTTGTTCTGAGATGTATTAGGAGTATGTGTAAAATTTTTAACTGAAAATGTTACGCATTACATGTCAACACACTACGGTGTTTTATTTAGTAAGTCTCGGACGAAGCCGAGACGGGGAGCTGCTAGTCTGTTATAATTGGAGATTTATGGCTGTTATACAAGAGATGCGCTTACTTGGCTTCTATCAAGCCGAGAATGCAATAAATTTCGCACGTATACTACGATACCTGGTGACTAAGTACTACACGCAAACCGGCCTCGTCTTAACCTTTCCCAGCTTAACACATTTTGTACGCTAGACTAAAAAAATAATGATGTTTCGTAGACAGCTACTACCTTAGCAAGATCTTATGCATAATTCTGATTGCACGCGGATGGTTTGATTTTTTTTCATTTATTTTTAGTAGATCTTATGACTGAAGTGACTGACACATAATGAATAAAGTAAGAAAATCAAATTTTTTTAAAAGCATCTATATACTCTCTCCATGATGAGCTTTTCAGGATTTTGTCTTTTTTATTTTTTAAATTTATAACAAAACCAATAACTTACATCCATAAAATATGACTAGTAAAAAAAAATTTATTTAGTACTCAAGTTAGCTCATCACGCCTGTTTTACTTATTTACGTGACATCAGACTATTACACATAAAAATATCAGGTAATGAAGTTGCCACACTTCAAGTAACCTGTATCATTTTATAAACAATCACCTTATTAATCAAATATTATAAAATATTGCCTGTCGACCCTACATTTTCTTGATATCATTGAAATCTCGTGATTGTTTTTTTCAGTGACTAGTTTTTTAAATAAAAATTAAAGTATAATTTGAAAGATATTGTATCAAGTGTTATAAACATTGAATAGCCTCCTACAAGGAATAACGTTCAACATAAATTTTTAAGTGATTCGTTTTAAAAAATTGACTGGCCAGATGGTTTGGAATTTTGTGAGATGATTCGGTTAATATTCAAGTGTGATTCCTGCAAGTTTCATTTATACCTAATGTATTTCAATTTTGTGATGATCCATCTTTTAAAATTCGTAAATATGTTCTAAGATACGTATAGCAGAATAGTATTTTATTTCATTCCTTTTTTATATTTTGTGATGCTACAATAATGTAAACAAAACTTTATGTCCCTAATAAAACAGCAACTCAGAACCACTGTCATCTTGCATCGAAATGCGCTTAAGAAAACGTGAGCTTATATATTAATGTGCTTGTACTAGCTTGATACTCTGCCAGTGAAGAAACAAGTGAATGAACATTCCTTACTTAAGTAAATTTTTGTTACTTTGACAACAGTGATAATACAATAACAATTTGATACCAGGAAATTGCCGTTGCATGTCAAGTATTAGAATTTTAATGTGGCAAATTGATTCAAATAAGATTGTAGTTTAAATATTCTAAAACAGCAATAAATTAATCATGTGGTATTTAAATTAAATCAAACAAAGATGTGGGTGTCAGGACCTCCACAAAAGTGAGACCCAATAACGATCTTTTATTGGACTGAATGCCATAGAAGTTTAATTCCGTCAACATTATCTTTTTTGACTAATTTTATGCAACATCAGTGTTATCTATGTTTTTGATGGTTATGCTGTTGTAAGATCATAAAATATTACCTATTCGTGCACCTCAATATTTTCCTTGCTCTTCTGAAACTCATTATCTTTCTCAGCATCGCATTCGAGTTGTACTATTTTTTAAATTTTCTAAAGGTTATACAGTATCAAAAACGTTGAAAAATGATTCATTCGCTTTTGTACTGTAAAAAAACATTCTTTCTTGTATTTAAATTTATAAGAGAAATACCTTCTCATTTTTATAAAGTTTTTTTATTTTTATTAATTCTCACACATACAAATAATTAATTTAGATAAATTCAATTCGTCAAGTAACAGGTTTAAAAAATACACGCAAAATAATCAATATACACTATCAACCACGCGCAGCATGCTAGATAATCTAAGGGCAAGAATCATTATCAAATATGATTGCGTCCAAGCCAAGCGGAACACGTGGCATGTGCAGCGCCTTTTTCGCATCAAAAACGTTCTTTTTAACTCAATTACATCAGATGGGAGATGGTTAGAAAAAAAGGTAAATACATAAATCAATAGGTTTTGACGTGCTCTTTCAGACAGTGCAGTCAGTTTTTACGTAAAAAATTTTTCCTTACTTAAGTTGATTTCCAAGTTTAGGCTGTTTTCGCTCATTGTACGTTTTTTTTTTTTTTTTTTTTTTTTTCTTTCAAACTTGCATTAGTCAATAGCTTACCTCTTTAATAACAGACAAGCAAATTTTCGAGTTGGGGCCTATAAAGCTTTAAAAATTACAGCCACTTGAAGATAGCGGGATGTAGTCTAGCACTGGCGCGCACGTATCTCGGTGGGTGCCAGGTGTGGTATTGTTTCACGACTTGCTTATAATCCAAGACAAGTAGCTAAAAAAATTTTTAAAAAATGCGCAAACTGACAGATTTTAAAGCGTTTTTTTTTAATTTTATTCCACAGTAAATTTTTTGATAAATACTTTAATTTAATATTGAAGAACAAGCGAATCTTTCAAGAAGTTGACGTGGTAGCAAACCGATGTCTTTTTTATAACATACGTATTTATAAATAATTAGGCCAGCAATAA